CTTCCTTGCTAATAGCTGATTCAATCAACACATTTAAACCTTCAGCAACAATTAGGAAGAGGAACGGGGCAATTGGGTCTCCTTGTCTGATCCCCCTCTCCATTTTGAACTCTTCAGTTGGACTTCCATTAACGAGGATCGAAATTGAAGCAGTTTGCAGACATTCCTTTATCCACATTCTCCATTTTTCACCAAAGCCGAGTCTCGTCATCATTTCATCTAAGAAATCCCAATTCACACAGTCGTATGCCTTTTCAAAATTTGCTTTGAAAATGAAACTACTTACTTTTTTTTTCTTTATCTCCTTTATCACCTCATTTAAAAACAAAACACCATCAGTGATCTGTCTTCCTCCCAAAAAGGTGGATTGGGTCCCACTTATCACCTTGGGTAATACTTTTTTAATCTTGTTTGCTAAGACCTTGGAGATGATTTTATAAAGACTATTAATCAAGCTTATAGGTCTATAGTCTTTTAAATCTACAGGATTTGACTTTTTTGGAATAAGGACTATGAATGAGGAGTTTAGCCCCCTTACCAGCTTGTCATTTCTGGAAAACTCCTGCACAAATTCAACAACATTTTTCTCAATCACTGTCCAGCAAGCTCTAACAAGATGGAAGCTGAAGCCGTCAGGATCAGGGGATTTATCGCCTCCGCATTCCCACACTGCTTGTTTCACCTCTTCTGCTGAGACCGCCCTTTCCAACCAGATTCTGTCCTCCTCAGTGAGTTGTTTAAATTGTAACCCATCTAGCTTTGGCTTGTCCCACTGCTCATCTTGAAAAATTTTTCTGAAGTATTCTTGCACTTCTTGTTTCACAATGTTGGGTTCCTCCACCCAAGAACCATCCTTATGAATGCCTCGAATCATTTTTCTCAGCCTATTGCTATTAGCTATTCTGTGGAATAACTTGGAATTAGCATCTCCTTGCTAGATCCAATCAAGTTTAGACTTTTGTTTCCATGCCATTTCTCTCCTTTTCCATGCTTCCCATAGCTCACTGAAACCCTCCCTTCTCAACAATATATCTTCCTCTGATATTTCAGTAATTTCATTCTTGTTATCAACTTCTTTGATTTTAGCTTCTGCCATATCAATTTGTTTTTCAAAGTTCCCAAAGACTTCATGATTCCATATCTTCAATCTGTTTCTCAAATGCTTAATTTTTTCTTTGCATACATAACCCTTCCATCCCCTCACCTCTATAGATTTCCAGCTCTCCTCTACTACTCTTCTGAAGTCTGGATGCTGATCCCAACAGTTCAAGGCCCTAAAAGGCTTTGGCCCTCAGTCACTATTAATCTTCTTCAGTACCACCGGACAATGATCTGATATCGACCTGTTTAAACCAACTTGGCAACAATCACCCCATAAATTAAGGAGGTCATCTGATAGGAGAAATCTATCCAGCCTACTCATAGCTGACCCATCACCCTTATACCAAGTAAATTTTCTTCTTATTAATGGCAAATCAACCAATCCTGCATTTTCAATAAATTCATTAAGGTCCTCCCTATATCTGGAGTGCTCAGATCTTCCTCTTCTCTCCTCCGTTGATCTCACGCTATTGAAATCTCCAGCAATGCACCAGAATCCTTCCCCTTCCTCAATCATCTTCAGTAGCTCTGTCCATGTTTCCATTCTTTCGTTTCTGTTACATGAGGCATTTACATTCACAATGCAACACTTTTGCTTCTTTTCTCCCCATAAGCCAAAAATTGCTAAGGCTCCTGGCTTCTCAACCACTGATACTTTCTCAAAAAAATCTTTATCCCAAATACAAAGAACTCCTCCTGATCTACCCACCGAGGCCTTGAACACCCAATCAAAATTATCTCGCCCCCAAATAGACAAGCACAAACCCTTGTCAATTACTTCCATTTTAGTTTCCTGAAAACAAGCAAAGCTAATTCCCTCTTTTTGTAAAAGACTCCTCACCTCTTTTCTTTTGACTGAACTACCGAATCCCCTCACATTGTATGACAGTAACTTCATTAATGGAAAAAATTATGAGAAGAAAACGGAGGGAGAGCCTACCTTGGTATCTCCCGACCACACCCCTGCTTGTCTCTTTCTTCCATTGTTGTGAATTTTCCCAGAATCAGCTCTTCTCGATTTTCGACATCGATCCCTATCTTTTTTCCCAGATCCAGCACCTTCTTTACTTCCTCGGGGAGCATTCCTTCCTTGATTCTTCTGTTGTTGCAGACAATATCCCCTTCTGATAAAAAGCCTTGTGTTACTTCCCCCCCAAAATTGATCGGCTGAACCCTTGCTTTCCTTCTTTTTCCTCGCTTCGTTCCAGTCACTAATTTCATAGATTCAACTCGAATTTCTGCAGGAGTGTTTGGAGATTTTATTGGGCTTACAAAAGCTTGAAACTTGCTGCCCTCTTTCTTGTCCGACCCCATTTTGTCTTCATCACACTGGGCTTTGTATTTGCTACCACTTGGGCTTCTAAATTGGGCTACCCAATCTATTGTTGCTGGAACTTTACCGTTACTGTTGAGGTTCCTTCTTGTTTGGTTGTCTTCGTTCCCCTCACTTTGTTTCTCCCGCTCCTGATTAGACAGTGCGCCACCTATCTCCCTGTTCTCCTCAACAACTTGCTTTGAGCCTCTCAAATTGTCAGGATAATTAATGCCACTGACATCTTTGAGAGGAGTTTGAATTTCCCCTCCTTCTGGACCGTTTGAATAGTCACATTCGAACTCACCGAAATCGTCGCCGGGGTTAGACTCCGATGAACTCACTTTTGATTCAGTGATGGAGTTGTGTACTTTCTTCAGCCACCAAGGATCATTTCTCCAATTCTCCTCCACTACAGCAATATTGTATCGATTGCCCTTCACTTTAAGGACAAATTCTTCATTTATTGCTGATTTAGATTTGGTGGATACCAGGACCCTTGCTACATCCAAACACTCCTTAGAGAGAGTGTATTCGTCAACTGATACACACTTACCCACTTGGTTACCAATTTTAAGTAAGTTTTCTTCAGTCCAAGCATGCAGTGGTAGCCCTTGAATTCTTGCCCAGACGAACCTTTCTTCTGCCATATCTAATGGTGACCAGATTTTAACCCGGTCAAAGTAGTGAGACACCCACTCAAGATTTCCATCTACCAACTCCTGTATACTCTCCGGGTCGTCACCGTCGATTAACACAAAGTTGCCTCCCATTGGAACAATTTTGATCGATGGAAATCCTTCATTAAAGAAAATCTCTGGAAAGCTTGGAATGATAGAAGGAGATAAAGCCATCCCGACAACACATTTCATCAGCTTCTCTTCTACCTTGTCTGTTCCTGTTGCCTCTATCACCTTTTTGTACTTGAAGCCTCCAGTATCATGTAACTTATTTGATTCTCTGTTTAAACTTCGCCGGGCGTCTCTGGCATCTGATGGTGTGGGTTCTTTCTTTCCTATTTCTCTGGGCTTTCCTCCATCTCTATGTTGCATGAGGCATTGAGCGTATGTCAGTTTTGAATCTGGTCTGCTTCTTTCAACCGCCTTCATGTGATCTTCATAAGTGGTCTTTTTTTTGCTACTCTGCCATCTTGCCTTCTCCGACAGCTTTGAAGTCGTTCTGCGTTGCTCTTCTCTTCTATCCTCTGCAGGGTTAAAGATCACCCTTCTGTTTCCAATCCACATGTTTTCTAGTTGCTTCTTCATCGCCTGATAGTCCCTGACGTCCAAGAACCTAGCAAAACCATACCTATTGCCTCTTCTGTCCCTCTTACTCGGTATAAAGATATCCCACAGTCTTCCTTTTTTCACCGCTCTCCTAATGAAAAAGAAAAGTTGCTTCGCTCCCCAATCTTCAGGAAAGTTGTAGAAGTGGAATGACACACATTGCTTCAGTAAACCCTTGTTGTAAGCTGGCAGTCTGTGCACGAAATCCTTGAAACCGGTTGCCGATTTGCCGTTGCCGTATCGTCCCCTGTCTCCACGCTCTGTCTCCATTTTTAAATTAGCATATTTGATTAATTATTTTTCTAATTATAATGTTAAGAAAGCTACATCAGAAAGAACATTGTAGTGATGTAGTGACCAATATTCCCTTGTTAAGAATTTTTTTATAAAAGTTTAAAGTTGTGGGGTTTCAATTTCACCCTTAACATTTAAAAAAATAAAAAAAGCTACATAAAAAATAATTTATTTGACAAGGCAGCTTTATAAAAATTACAATTTACTTGACATGGCAACCGGTTGATGCAACATGTGCTTGCACTACTTCTAGCATTTATGAAAATTTAACATGTTGGTGTGAACATAAAATATGATTATTTAACTTAAAATTAATTAATAATATGTACTACAACATTTTTCAACAGCTGTGGTAGAACTAGAAATCAATT